GTCATAACTCTCATGTATGTTGCCCCAGCGTTCTTCAGAACAAAAGGCATGACCCTGTAACAATAGGTGCCCCAGGATGTGGCGAAAGCTGTCTTTTCCGCGTCCTCTTCATCCATCAACACCTGATGATATCCTGCATAACAATCCACGAAAGATTGTATCTCATGTTTGGCACAGTTGTCAACAAGGATGTGGATGTTCGACAAAGGGAAGTTGTCTTTGGGACTTGCTTTGTTCAGATCTCGATAGTCAACATACACCCGAGTTTTCCTATCTTTCTTTGGCACGGGAACCACATTAGCTAAACATGTGGTGTATCGGACCACTCGGATCACCCCGCCTTCAACTGTTTCGTGACTTCCCCTTTGATCTTGTCACTGATATCGGTTTTGAACTTCCTTTGCTTTTGTTGGACAGGGGGATAATCGGGGTAAGTCGGCAACTTGTGGACCACCAAATCAACACTTAGACCTGACATATCATCATAGGACCAAGTAAACACATCTTTGAATTCAAACAAAAGTTGGATCAATGCATCCCTAGTTCTTTCATCTGTGTGAATGCTTATCATGGTTTCTTGGACCTCTTCCGGACTACCCAAATTTACTGGCTCGGTTTCATTTAGATTTAGCTTAGGCTTATTCTCAAATTATTCCAATTCTTGATTTATTTCCCTAAAAGCCTCCTCTTCATCGTATTCTGGTTCTTGATTCATTATTTCACAATTAGACAGCTTGTTTGGATCTGAGCATGAAGTCCGCAAGCATGTCATGTTATTTAAAGCCGCATTATTAGAACTGAAAGAAGAAATAAGAAAAAGTAGCAAAAATCAGAAAGAATAAAGAGAGATTTATGAACGATGAAATAATGATTTCATTTCATTGAATTTTGAAGATAACAGGGTTTACATTGGAATTTAAAGACAATAAACTAAAAAGAAACATCCGAGTAACACCCTGAAATAACTCGTGATGTAGAAAAGGTGGCAAGACTGGACTACCGGGATTCCCGCCTGACTGGGAACGGAGTAGCCTTCTAGTTTTGCAACTTGGCATTGGGCCCCATATACAGCACCTCAGCGGTACTCGAGCTTTCTCCTGGCTGGACCATGTGAGTTTCATATAGCATCTGCCTCATGGCTCCACATATATCCTCAATTTCCTCGGCCGTGAATGCCTCATCTTCTTCTTCTTCTTCGTTGTACTTGGGCCTGACGAATGTTTTGTATAGATGCAGAACCGGCTGAGGTAAAACCCAACCATTGCTCTTTCGTTCATTTGCCCAGGTCACATCAGCTTCTGTGGCGCGAAAACCCACACCGAAGAACTTCTCGTTGGCGGGTAAAGTGATAGGTTCTGTGATACCTTGCAATGATGCCCCAAGTCCCTTCCTAGGCTTATAATCATGCTTGATCATTTCAGTAGTGACCATGATGGATGCATTTGACAGAAAAGGCTGAGGACAAGGGCTTCCCTCCTCACATTGATCTGCGACCACCACCTCGAAAGCTTGATAAACTATATGCTCGCTACCTTCCCTGGCTTCGAGACATGGGACTGATGGGTCCCGATAAATTGACTGCTCGTCTTCTCCATGAACCACAATTTCCTGGTCTTCATATTCAAATTTCACCATCTGGTGGAGAGTGGAAGGTACGACCCCTACCGCGTGAATCCAAGGTCTTCCCAAGAGGAAATTATAAGAAGTGTCCATGTTTAGGACATGAAATGTCACCTCGAAATCCACCGGAAATGCCGTAAAAGGCACGCACACAGACATTATTAGGCCTGATTCTGTCAGTCCCAATCTCCATTCTTTGCAAAGTTGAAAGAGGGCAGATATCAACCCCCGATCCACCATCCACCATGACTCTTTTTACATAGTACCCCTCACATTTAACTGTCAGATGGAGGGCTTTGTTATGGGCGGCCCCTTTCGGGGGCAAATCATTCTTGGTAAAGGAAATTTGATTGATTGCGAAGAATCTTTCTGCCATCCTTTCCAGTTGTTCGACAGTGATTTCAATCAGAACATAAGTCTCATTGAGGGTCTTTATCAACACTTTCTGATGTTCAGTTGAGCTTATCAGTAGAGACAGAAGCAAGACCTAAGCGGGAGACTTCCGGAGTTGGTCTATTACCTCATAGTCTGCAGTTTTCATTTTACGGAAGAATTCTTTGGCCTCCTCGGCACTGACAGGCTTCTTGAGTGGGAAACGCTTCTTCTTGGCTTTGTTCAAATCCTCCAAGTTAAGGTATTTCTCAGGTGGGTTAGTTTTATTTGCTTCTCCTGGGAGCTCTTTTCCCTTGTAGGTTGCTACCGCCTTGTTATAATTCCATGGGACGGTAGTAGGGTCGGTCATGGGCATCTGCGGTGCGCGGCCAATAACCACGGGCTCATTCAGCCTTGGTGAAATTACTGGCCCCCGTACCATATAGGCCCCTTTAGGCACGTACATTTTAGGTCCCTTGTTCAGCTCGAACCTCTTTGGATGGGCTTAATGTTATTTGCTCTTTCCTGTGACCCCGGGGAACATAGAGAATGGCATCTTTTGGGGGGATTGCCCCAGTTTTGGTTTCCACTGTCTTTTCTGCACTTTGAGGGGTGGGTTTACTTTTCTTCTCTCCCTTATCCTGCTTCGCGGCAGCCTTTGGCTTCTTCTCGACATCAGCGATTGCAATGATGGCTTTCAAAGCAGGATCAAACTCCTTATCTTCGCAAATCATTCCAATGACCGGCCTGTTGTTGTGAGCCGGTAATGGGTTGTTGGTCACATTAGGAATCTCTTCATCCTTTAGCACTATTCGTTTTTACTCTATGAGATTTTCAACAGCCCTTTTCAGAGTCCAACAGTCTTCAGTGTCATGTCCTTTCGCTCCCGAATGGTAAGCACATCGAGTACCGGCTCAACAGGAGGACGACTCTAGGTTTTGTCTGGTTTGGGGTACGGGCTGCAACAAACCCATTTGGACCAGTTTAGGGACAAGGCTAGAGTATGACTCACCAATAAGCGTGAAGTTTGTTCTCCTGGGTGGCTCCCGAGCACGAGCATTGTAGGGGAAGTTAATTTGTGGAGGTCGGGGATTATACTAAGCTTGGTGAGGAGGGTGATTTCTAGGAAATGGAGCTCGGTTTTGGTTGAACTGTTGTTGTGGCCGAGTGTATGGCTGGGCGTTCATTACCGCGTACGGTTGAGGAGCCATAACATAGGCCACGTCCTGATGAGGATAATAATGTTGTGGGGTGCTTGGAGGGAAGTAACCTCTGGGTGGACGGGGGTTTCTCAAACTTGAAGTTGCCATCGCCACCTCTTCTTTCTTCTTTCTGTTTGCTACACCTCCGGACCCGCTTTGAATTGCTTGGTATGTAGCTCTTATGGTAGATTGGCTCAATATGCACCCTGTTTTCAGACCATTCTCGACCATCTCACCAATCTTGATGGCCTCAGCAAACGGTTTCCCCATCGCAGACATTATATTCTGAAAGTAGTCAGCCTCTTAGGCTTGTAGAAAAACACTCACCATTTCTGTTTCATCCATCGGGGGCTTGACCCTGGCCGCTTGTTCGCGTCATTTAACAGCATATTCTCGGAAACTTTTCGATGGCTTTTTCTTGAGATTTGACAGAGAATTCCTGTCGGGAGCTATGTCTATGTTATACTGAAACTGCCTGACAAAATCTCGAGCCAGATCATCCCAAATATGCTAACGAGATATGTCCTGATCCATGTACCACTCATATGCAATGCCAACTAGACTCTCTCCAAAATAGGCCATTAAGAGCTCTTTTTTTCCGCCTGCCCCTCTTAATTGATTGCAATATCTCTTGAGGTGGGCTATGGATCTCGTGCCCGTCATACTTTTCGAACTTTGGGGTCTTGAAACCCAGGGGTAAATGCACATGTGGGAACATACATAGATCAGCGTAGGATACGCTCTTTTGTCCGCTCAAACCTTGTATGTTCTTAAGGCTCTGTTCCATGCTCCTCATTTTCTAGGTAATTTCCTCTTGCTCGGGGTTTTTTGTAGCCTTCTCCTGTCCCGCGGTGAACTCGTACCGGGGTTGTTGAGGGTAAGAATTGGTGGTGAACTGGGTAGGTTCTGGTGGAAAAGATGGTATTTGGAATGTGAAGGATGATGGATCAAAGCTTGGCCTGGGCACGGTCGGCTGTACCGCAGCCGAGGTTGGTGGTACGGTAAATATGTTGGAGGCCACTCCCGAAACTACCTGGGGGCGAACCTCAGAAGGTGTTTCGGCGAAGTGAGCTGAGACGGTGGGGTATCCAAGTGGGGTATTCCGGTAATTTATTGGGACATTGGAATTTCCACTTGCTCTGGGAAGTAGCTCGGGGAAACCGGGTATGGCAATCGGCGGTTCTCTCCCATTGGACCAGGCGTCCCACATTTCCAGCACTCGGAGGCATAGTGCCCTGTTCTCTTCAGCTGCCGCTGACTCTGAGGTTGGGATAACCGATAGTGGTCTATCCTCTGGGATGAAAATTGTTGGTGGATGAGCTTCTGACGACATTTCTACACTGCCCTTAGATCTTGTAAAGTATGGGTGTGAAGCCAGGTTAACACAAACCAACCACCTTAAAAACAGAACCTATACTCAACAGTAGACAACAAACCGGTTAGTTTGAAGCAATTAACAGATAGGAAATCGCACATTGGGGGTGTGATGCACCTATACAGTTAAATGTGTTTCTACATGTTTTGCAACGATTGCATGTCTCATCCCAGCTTTTGTTCATCTCCCCGATCTTCTCTCTTGCTCTCTTTTGCATTCTCATTTTCTCTTTTGTTCTCATTCTCTTTTCCTTGTTTTCTCTCTTTTCTTTTTGGTTTTCTCTTTTTCACACTCCTCTTTTATTTGAGTTATTTACAAAAATCATGACCGGATCCGATGAGGATTGCCTACGTATCACGACGCCGCGTGAATCAGATCATCACGTAGTTCAAGGAATAAATACGAAAAATAAAGAAACAATTTTTGGGGTTTTCCAAATTTTCATTAATAAAAGCTTCTAACTTTCTGAGTTACAAAAGACTCTATCATACTTTTCCTAGGAATTTAAAACTACAAACAGACTCGAAACATAATTTAAACTAGAAACTGAAATACAGACTCAAAATGAAAATCAAAAATACATAAGTGCTTCTACTCCAGGGGCCCGTGGGACATCAGTCGGTCTTGCCACGAGCCTATGTGCAAGATCCCCTTAAAGACGCTCCCGGTCACTTATTATTTGGCGAACGAAGGTCATTACTGCAGCAAAGAAAGTGGTTCTAGTCATGTCTTCACATGCATGGCACTTCATGATAATGTAGTCAGCAATTGCTCTAACCCTTTCCTTGATGATACCCTTTTCTTGGAGCAAACGCCCCATTTGCTGAGACCTAGCTTCTAGCACCTGGGTGTCATGATGGTTTTGATCCTGTAGCTGTTGCATATCTTCCTCTAGTTGGGACAATAATGCATAACAATGTTCCCTTTCTACTTTAAAGTTCTTAGCTTGGTTGGCCATCTCATTTTCGAGGGTAGTTAGCCTTTTCTTCAAATTTGTGACTGTTCCCTCATATTTCCTTTTCAACTGCCGTACAAACTCTGCCCGTCCCTCTGCGTTCTTTGTCAACTGTGCTCGGGCTCTTGCCAGATAAACCTCGGACTTTTCCAAGTCATCCTGATACTCAGATATTTTCCTTCTAAGAGCATTTATGAGCCTTTCATCTGCTTGGCTTCTTTCCTGATTCTCAGCAGCTATCTTCATTTTTTGGATCTGGGCTCGAAGGGCTTTGTTTTCTTGAGCCAGCTTCTTCTTTTCCTCTTCATCAGCAACAACTTGTACACTATTGTCAAATTTGAGATCGTTGATTTGTCCCTCCAATTTGCTTATCTTGGCCCTGTAGCTTGCCTCTTTTGCCAACCAATCTCCCTCGAATCATCAGTGAATTGCTGGACGTGGGGTCTTTTAGCAGGCCGTTCGGGCTCCTAATGAACTTGAAACCTTTTACCAAACCAAGTCATGTAATTAGGGTCTAACTCGCCTTTAGATAGATCCCGCACCCGAGTCTTTGGCTCTAGAAATCTACACTCATTCCAAATCTGACGAACTTTTCCTTTTGGGAATACAACTTTTGGACCCAATTCAATGACTTGTCGGCTCAGATCTTCGTCATGTGGGATAGTTTGGAACTTGCCTAGTTGGCGCAGCACCCTGTGTGAAGCGTATGGCTGAATGCTCCGGAGACCCATTAAGAGGAAATAGCACACCTCAGCTGACATATAAATGACTTCAGTAACAGGGAGCCAACCGAATGTCCACTCAATTTTGTTTGAAGTTAAGGAACTCAAATGCGCAAACCAGGCCTCTGTACCTTCTGGAAATTCATAACCCACCATCCGGTTTTCATGTTCTTCAATGCAATTCAGACCAGTCATGCCATAGCTCATGTACCCCAAGCGGTGGCAGAGATGTTCTTGTATCCAAAGCTGTAGAAGCATGTTACAGCCCTCGAAGAATTTTCGCCCTTCTCGGCAGACAGTTAGAGCTCGATAAATCTCCGCTAAGATCATTGGAACAAGGGTGCCATTAGCTTTCTTAATCATGACGTCGACCATTCCCACAAGACCCAATTCTATGTTTCCATCCTTTCTTGGGCAGATTAAAACACCCAAGAATGCCACTATAAAAGCCAGTCCCCGACGAGCTTCCCATTTATCTTTGTTTCCTGAATGAGTTAGGCTAGTATCTGGAGCCTCAAAACCTTGGGGATCGCCATAACGCTGGTACAAGAAGTAGAATGTGCAAAATCCTTGAGATAGGTTCCCATCTTGAACCTCCCGACTAATGCTCAGAAGGTCCAAAAACCTATGAGGAGTCACTGTTCTTGGAGCCACTAGGTACCGACTTCTGAGATTCCCACTAAGTCCGGCATAACCCGCTATTTCCTCAAGCGTGGGGGTTAGCTCAAAATCAGAAAAATGGAACACATTATGCGTCAGGTCCCAAAAAGGTATCAAAGCCTCGATTACATCCAACCTCGGTTTGATTTTCAGAAGACCAACAAGACCGCCCAACACTTTTACCACAGTATCTCTGCTGAATTTTTCTAAGTCATTCCACCACATATGTAGTCCTAATGGGATTTCTTCAAGGACCGTGAAGGGTTCATTTTCAATTGTGCTCATCCTGCACATTTATTAGAGTGATTGGTTAAAAGATCAAGATTTATTTTGACTCAAGAAAAAGTTAGCAGTTTTTCAAAGATTTTCATTTCAAAACAAAAAACCGCCTTTGCAAATACGACCCTTCAACACCTCAGGAAAGAAGATTTTAGGGCTGTGTCCGCTAATTGGCCAAAATTTGAAAAAGGAACAATAGATGGCTATTCTTGCAAAAGCAGCCTTGCGGCGCCCTTTTGGGACATTTTGGCTATTTAGACAAGAACGGCATCACCTAATTTATTTATGACAAAACAGCAAACTTTTGTTCCTTTTGGGTTATTTTTGCAAAAATGGAGTTGGACCCGGTGAGGGTTGCCTACGTATCCCACATCCGGTGAGAATCAAACTTGCGTAGTTCGGGCAGTTCTGACATAATGAAAACAACACCAAATACTTTTTTTTTAAGCAAAAATTGTTCTTTTTTTTTCGAAATTTCGGCAGAGTTTCGGTACTTTTTGGACACTGGTTTTTCAAAGACAGGTAATTATCTCTCTCAATCCTCAAACTGATTTTTCTCAACTTTTCTTCATTATTCCAAAGCCGGTAAACATGCAATCCGAAGTAATAATAAATGCACAGGTAGCAAATAGAATGCATCAGGATGGTCTTTTCATTTCGGGTACACCTGTCCTAGACGGACCCAACCCCTGTGTTGAGTCCCCAAAGTCAAATGCACGTGATGCAAACAAGCGTTCCTACTAGGGATCCGGCATGAGGCTTTGTTATACTAGGTTTTAAAACCCTGAGTGTATTGTTCTAGACCTGGCTTACCCGAGCAGACAGCTCGAGCCGAGGAGGGGCAGCGTACCGGGAATACAGAAGCTTCACCGGCTTTGCAACTTGTCCGAACCTCGTTTTAAAATTGGAATATGACTAACAGAAAAGAAGTTACACGAAGTGCCCACTTCCCAGATGATTTAAAAGACTCAGAGAGAGGAGGGTTTTGTAACAATTTATATACAGTTTCAAACAATATCAAAGCGGTAAAAAAGCGGCATTTAGCACATTAGGCTCAAACATGTAAAAATCAGATAATAAATAAAGCCAAGTATAACAGTTATTCTAAGCTCGAATTCTTAAACCCTAAACAGAAAGTTCTGAGCTGGATATATATTTTGGACCTAAAAATACACTGATTCTAGACTACTTTGGAGTCTCTTTCTTTCACTATTAGCAAAGAACTCCTACTGTTTTTTCACACTATCTTCTGGATTTCTGGGTTTTTGGAAGTTGGTTTTGGTTTTCTGTTTGGATTTGCTGCTGTTTCTCACTCAACTTTTCAGAGACCTATTTTCTTTCTGTTTGTTTTCTTGCTGCTGTCAAGGTACTTTTCTTAACAAAAAGTGTAAAGTTTCAATCTTTTGCTGAATCATGATGGGAATTTGTTGATAAATCTGCAATTAGTGTGAATATTGCATGAACCATGTTAGTTTGAAGCTTGCTTGCTTGTTATGTTGCAAATTTGTTTACAATATTTTAGGCAAATATATTAGTTTAAAAGTGTTCTGAAAATTACAGAATCTGCTTAAAGATTCGTACATTTATAAAATTTGTATATTCATATGTAGTAGTATCACATAAATCATTTTCCAGAAATTCTGTTAGAATAGCAATAGGCAGTTTGGTTATTCAGTTAGCAAAAAATGTAATAATTTTACTGCATTTCCTTGTGTGTTAAACCAGCTTAATAGATTAGCAATTTACCACACTGTTTTTTAATAGTTAAATAATGTTGGATTATTATTAGCTTAAAGTCATAAAAATTAGATTTTTACAAAGTAACTAAATAATAACCATAATACATTTTCAGGCCCAAAGCCAATTGGGTTTATGAATTTGTGTTTTGATTTTTACTAAAACAAAATGAGTTGATCAATAGCATTTACACTTTAACATTTTTGAAATACAAATAAGCTTCAAAATCAGCATTTCGAATATAAAGACTTAGGCAAATTAGTAGGAAGATTGTCTAAAATTTAACAGATTTTGATTTATTCAAAACCCTTTTTACTTTTCTGTTTCAAAAGATAAACAAAAATATAGTTAAAATCCTGCATTTTGTCATTAGTTATATTAATTTCAAATTTCCTTCAAATATGTGTTGGACTAGAGTTCACTTGGACTCATTATTAAGTTTATTTATTTGTCCACAAATAGATTTTGTGCCAGAGTTACTTGTACTCATTAGTAGGCCCAAATCTTCTTGAATGCATTACGTTTAAATTGATTAATTGCTTAACAATTTATTTGGGCCAGATTCATTTGAAATAAGTCATGCCCAAGTTCTTTTAGAATTAATTTAGTTGTTTGAATAATAGACAATATATGTCTTAGGTTAGAGTTCATTTGGACTTAACCTTTGTCAGGCCCCAAACTTCAAAATCTGGGCCTGTTTGGCATTTAATAAATAAAGTTGCCACATTTAATTCAAATAAGTATCTCATGTAGTTTTGTACCTTTACACCTAGTTACCAGTGTTAAAAATAGTGTGAAGCGAGGAAAAACGACAACCCCCATTTCACGAAAAGCGAGAAGCGCCCGCTTTTTTGAAGTGAAGCGGAATTTTTAAAAAAAAAATTAAAATAAATACGGCATAGACAACACATGTAATTGTAAGCAAATATTCAATACTTGAATTAAAAAAACTAAAGAGTAGCATCAATTAAAGCACAAAATGAGCATCCTATTCTTCTACAAGATTGTCAAGAGTAGCATCAATTGGGCAGAATCTGGGCAGAATTTGGGTAGGTAGAATTTTTCTGAAAAAAATTCGCCAGTATTTCAGCGCTTTTTGGACGTTTAGAAAAAAGAAGAAGAAGAAGAAGAATGAAAATAAAAACATACCTGTTGAAACTTGAAAGCTGTTGTAATGTTGAAGAAGAAGAAGACGAAGAACCTTAGTTTGCTTGAACAAATCGTTGCTTCATGTGAGGAAGAAATCGCTGGTTTTTTGAGGAAGAAAAGGCTGGTTTAGAACCCTAGTTTGTTGCTGAAGAAGTGTCTAAAACAGAAGACTCAACGATTTGGGTCTTTTAATTGAAAAAGACTCGTTTGGGCCTTTTAATTCAAGAAGCGATCGCTTCTTCCGCTCCCGACCGCTTCACCGCTTCTCGCTTTTTAGAGAGAAGCGGTCGCTTTTCTGTACCTGAGCCGCTTTTAGTTGGGGTAACGACCAACCCATCGCTCCGCTTCGCTTCTCGCTTAAAGCGAGGAAGCGGACGCTTTTTTTAACACTGCTAGTTACATGATATAGAATAGTTTAGTGATATAATCACGTCTTTAGGTGCACTTCAAAATTACGCCTTAATCAAATACTCGTAGAAATGCTTTAGGCGCGATTAATTAACTATCGTGACTATGAGTACGGTTCTCGTGGCATCGTCATGATACCTGATTCCCAAATTCGGGGGTGCATTTCATGTAACTCGATCATAACAATTTCGAATATTAATAAAATACACATGTCGTGAATCACGGGTGCATTTCATGTAGCGTGATACGCGGCGTGTTCCAAAACAAACAAGTGTACGACAATCGTAACTTGTTCTAACAAAATAATTCCATAAATCCTAAAAGCGGTTAAAATAATTAAAAGGCGGTTATAAAGCTAAAAATGCACAATAGATTTAAAACGTGTAGTAAATTAGATAATAGGCCAATGTTAATAGTTTAAGCTACCGTGCTAGAACCACAGAACCTGGGAATGCCTAACACCTTCTCCCGGGTTAATAGAATTCCTTATCTAGAATTTCTGGTTCGCAGACTTATAAAGTAAAGTCGAAATTTCCTCGATTTGGGATTTTAAAATAAATCAGTGACTTGGAACACCAAATAAACTATTCCAAGCGGCGACTCTGATAAATTAATTAATCTCATTTCGATTTATGTCACTTTAATTGGAAAAACTTCCTTGTACCCCCTCGGGGTGTAAATGAGGTGTGATTTTATGGTAAAGAAACTTATGCATTGTGAGAGAGAAAGAAAAGCTTTAGCACTATTGTAGTTTCAGCATGTAAAACTTAACAAGCATATACAGACAGTGTCAAACAAAAAGAAACAGCTCATATTCATCTGAAGTTTCAATTACAAAGCAATCAAACAAGGAAATGGTCATATGTACTTTGAAACAACAGTTAAGTAACAACTAAAGTGAAGATAAGACTGTTGGAGGAATCTCAGAAGCAGAAAACAGCAAACAATGAACAACACAACTTCAGTAGACTCAAAGAATCCCAGAATTTCAAAACTAAACCAACACTTGAAAAACCAGAAATCCTAAGTACATACTCCTAGGAAAATTCTTCATTTCAACTCATTTTTTAACTTGTTAACAAAGAGAGATTTTTTTCTTTTTGGAAGTTTTTCTGAGATTTTCTTTAAATCTGAAATTCAGAGAAGAGAGGAAATTTTTCTGCAGAGAATGATACTACTGATTGTTCATCCTCTTTCTTAGAATGAGGGAAACCTACTTATATAGGCTGCCTAGGGAGAGTATCTTTTTTGGCATATTCCTTATCCTAGGGTAAAAATAGTACTGTCCTTGGTACAACTGTCCTATATTTCAGCATCTTTTTGTAATAGCTAGGACAGCTGTACCGTTTTCAAGGAAATTTCTGATGTTTAGCCTAGGTAGAAACCCATTTTTAACCTTCAAGTTGCTGCTTATTTCAGTCTTAACCTAAACTTTTTCAGTTCAAATAGGTCCCTAAAGTTTCTATCTGTGAGCAATTTAGAACAAACAAGGACAAAACTAAAAAGGGTGAAAATTTGGATCAAAATGCTTAAACAGGTCGAAAAGATGCAGTCTAGACTTAATAGAAGGAAAAGCTTGATCAATTAGAACTGACTAACACTGAAACTAAAAAAAATGCATTTAAACAGTAATCCAAAAATCAGAAATGCAAATGCAAGGAACAAACTGGAATTCAAACTACGTCAATTTGCAAAACTTAAACAAACGAACCTAAATAATTGTCAGCCCTCCTAAAATAAGCCTTTAGACTAGTTTAGGAAATAAGAGCAATCATTTTGAACATGCTGAATCTTAGAGATTGAGACCTAGGCTAATTGGAAACATGCTTTTCCTTTTTTTCTTTCTTTTTTTTTAAAATCTATCAAACAAAAAACCAACATCAAACAGAGCTAGGGGTATGTGAATTAAAAGAAGGGGGGTATTTCAGCATCAATTTAAAACATGCAGTTAAAACAAGAACAATTAAACATGCAGGAAAGAAACAAAACAAAATCAGACAGTCAAAAGAAAAAAGAAAGGGATTTACCGGGTTTTATTTCAAAAACTGGATCGAACCACGAACTCGTCCAAACTCCCTGAAGTGTAAATGGACTTTGACTACCATTAAAACAGTCGACTAATGAAGGTTCTAAGTCCACTTGACCAATTTTGACCGAAAAAATCAGAAAAGGGGAAAAAATTAGGGTTCGACGATTATGAGATTCAAGATTCGGGGAAATTGGCTGAGATTTTTGAGGAATCAAGGGTGAGACAGGGGTGAGGGAAGGTCGAGGACTGTTTGGTATGAATTTGTGGGCTTTGGGGGAAATTAGGGTTTTGGAAACCTAAATTTCGATTCAAGATTCGAGCAGCTAGGCAGTGATTCGAAGGCAAAGGGTTGGGGATTTGTAAAGAGGGGATGAAGGGGAGTTCGGGGTGTTAATTTGGTTAAGATTGGAACAATTAGGTTTTTTAGCTGGATTTTCAATCTAATATTGGAGGAGTTTGGCAGTGATTCGAAGGAAGACAACTAGAGATATGAATTGAAGAGGTGAAGGGGAGCTCATGGTGTTATTTTGGGGAAGATTGGTCCACCGGAACCGCCGTGAGGCGATTTTCGGCGGTGGTTTGCGGTGGAGGCGGCGTGGGGATATGAGGCGGCTAGGGTTTATTGAGAAAGAGATGAGAGTGAAGACTGAAAGAGGTTAGACCGGGGGGGGGTGGTTCTCTTCGGACAGTTTTATATAAAATAACTCCCTAGTTCTGAACCGTTGGATTGCTAAGATCCAACGGCTGTGATCAGGCGTTACAAAAACGGGGTCGTTTGGGTTATGGGGGACCTGGACCGGGTATAATTGTTTTGGGCTTGGGTTGGGGGTAACGGATCTAGGCTGGTTTGGGTTAAATTAGCCCAATTTCAAAAAATCAAATTCTTTATTTCCCCTTTTCTTTTTTTTTTCTTTTTTTTTTTAAATTAAAAATCCTAATAATTAAAATCCTAAATTATCTTAAAATGTGAAATTAAACTATTTAACTAATTATAAAAATTATAAACATCACTTAATTCTAAATTAAAAGAGAAAAATCAATAAACTAAAAATTAAAAGACAAAATGTTAAATGAGCTATTTTTGTGATTTTCAAATTTCTATGAAACAAATAATTACTGTTTAATTTTAAAAAATGTAAAAACAAATCCTAAATGCAATGCATGATATTTTCGGTTTTTTTTTTTCATGATATTTAATAAAAATTAAATATGCATAGAAATGCAAATAATTAAGAAAATTCTACAAAAATTCCTAAAATTAGNATTTCAAAAAATCAAACTCTTTATTTCCCCTTTTCTTTTATTTTTCTTTTCTTTTTTTTTTTTTTAAATTAAAAATCCTAATAATTAAAATCCTAAATTATCTTAAAATGTGAAATTAAACTATTTAACTAATTATAAAAATTATAAACATCACTTAATTCTAAATTAAAAGAGAAAAATCAATAAACTAAAAATTAAAAGACAAAATGTTAAATGAGCTATTTTTGTGATTTTCAAATTTCTATGAAACAAATAATTACTGTTTAATTTTAAAAAATGTAAAAACAAATCCTAAATGCAATGCATGATATTTTCGGTTTTTTTTTTTCATGATATTTAATAAAAATTAAATATGCATAGAAATGCAAATAATTAAGAAAATTCTACAAAAATTCCTAAAATTAGCAAATAATTAAGAAAAAATCTATTTTCTTGGATTTTATAGGAGTATTTCGTATAGGGCAAAAATCACATGCTCACAAGTGGGATACATTTGGTTCTTTGTAGTTGATGTAGGAGTTCGGGCTCTCAACTTTCATTATAATATTAAGTGATTCACTTTACATCTAGATAGTGATTTTCCAAAATTTCAGTCCATCCCCTGGTCTCTTTGTTGGGACGGGGGAGCGTTGAAGTAGTGCATGGTCAAAGCCCTACTTTTTTTTGAGTTTCTCTTGGATCGCCGATCCCGTTACATGCTAATGTGCTTTTACTTTTTGTAGTCAATTTCTACCTGTTGAAATGAATCTATCAGCAGTTGTTGCTAACTTACTACAATTTTTTCATGAAGAACTTACCTGTTCATTATCCCTTTTCTGGCAGGTGGTTACTCCAATTGCACCCCTTAGTCAGCAGGTATTGTCCAATGAAATTCTCATTTGTGTGTCTGGATGTATGTCTTTCTATTTTTTTGTTGATGATAAAGCATGGACATGTTCCACTCTTTGGAATAATTTGTACTATAGACAAGAAAATTTGCTGCAACTATGTTGGTAGATTGGCAAACCCTCTTTTCTTTAGTTCTGGCATTCAATCTTTAGACTTCCTGTCCTTTTGCAGTCTTAAACTTCTTTCCACCTTTTTCAGCACTCTTACTGGACTCTTTTGTCTTGTAGTTAGCTGAAAGTTAGGCCAAGGTACTTCGATTTGGTTTCATCATTGAAGAATTTGTCCAATCTGGAGAATGAATTTTGAACTGATAGCTCCCTAATCTCCTTAGTACTGATCATAAATTCTTTGTTCGTCTACTCCATTCACGTTGCTAAAATTGGAATCTGTCTCACCTTGCAAACTGTTACTGGGTTCATGTACCCTACAGTTCCTCTCATAAAAGAAATCCCATCTTTGGGGTAATACATCTGCCTACAAGGAATCTATAATATCTTATGGACGTTGAATTGTTGAGGAACATCTATTGAGAGTTGGACGATTCCCTAGAGGTTTTTCTGTAGTTTTATGCTGCCCCTGTTTCTTGCCCTTTCCTAACCAGCTTGTTCATTGTAGCTGAAAAAAGTATTAAGTTATTGTATAGGGAATACTTTGAGGATAAAAAAGCTTGGTGATGATTCTTATATGCTTGTCATGACGCAATCTGTAATTTTGTCATGCAGTAGTGGCAAGAAGATGTATCCCTTTCATAAAATGATGTTTTCTGTTGCATTTGCAGGCTGGATACTTTTGCCGAGTTTGTGAATGTGTAGTAAAGGATTCTGCAAACTACTTGGACCATATCAATGGGAAGAAGCGTATGTCATATGGCCATAAGTTACCTTCTCACTTATTGCTATGATTTTGCCTTCGAGATCTTTTTTCTTTAGCAATGAGGACTCAGTAAAAGATTTAAAAAAAAAAAAGAGATCTTTTTTCCTTGACGGCTTGCTTCCAAGGATTTACACTCAGTTGTTTATTCTTTTCTTTTCAGATCAGCGAGCATTGGGTATGTCTATGCGGGTAGAACGAGCCTCGCTAGAGCAGGTTGGCTGATCTATACGTCTTGCAAGAGAGTATAGTTTCTGCAGTTCTATACACGCCAGGAGTATGCTTAAAAATTTACATTCAGTTTAATGCATGTCATATCATAACTGAAGTAAAGAGAGAAATTCCACACCAACTAACCACTACCAAAATGAAAAGGGATGGCTTTACTAAGCATAACTTTCTGTAGAAGTGACTAATGTGTCATCCATCTTTCATTTAGTTGCTCGGTACCCAGAGTTTAAGTCATTATCTTTGTAGGTTTTCTGCAGTCTTCAGAAAGATTCAAATGAACTCACTTTAACCCGGGAAGAGGCACATCTTTTCCACCTTGTTTCTTTTCTTTAGCCATGTTATCCACCTCGTAAAGCTCATGGAAAGTGAGGAGAGATGGTCCCCTCAAACATTTAACTGTTCCACAATTTTGAGATTCTGCAACTTCTGGATGTGGAAGTTTGCCTGCATTCCTGCAGAATGGCGTTTAACAAGTCCTTCTGGGGAAGGGAGTGGTTCTCCTTTCTTGCTTTGGCACAAATTAATGGCTAACTGCTACAGGTCTAGAGGTTATTTTCCCCCTCCACTCGTAAGAGGGGAATAAGGTAAGGACTTGAATTTACTTGAAAATGTAATTGGGTGATGTCAGTTTCACTAATCAAAAAAAAAAAAAAATGGAAAAAGAGAAAAGGATGTCATAGTGTTGTCAAAGGGCTTAAGTCTTGAAGCTAGGTGCAAAGCAGGTTGAGCGCTTCGTTTAGCTGGCGCGTTAGTGCATTCACCAAGGGGTTAAGGCATACCCCTCATCACGTACGGGCTTTGTCCTTATTATGCGATGCTAAAGAATAAATATTTCACATAATTGTAAATTTTTAATTCCTTTTGTCCATATAATTGTTATGTGTGTTTATAATTTTAATACTTGAATCACTTATACAATTTTTTTTTTAATTCTTCAATTGTGCATTATTCATCAAACCCAGCACTTTAATTGCATTTGAGCTTAAAACCTCAACAAACCTTAGTTTTTTTGCGTTTTTCACCTTTGATAACACTGGGATGTTAGTTACAGAAGTGGGGGACTGGGTGACCTTGAATGGAGCTAATGGAAATGTGACATATCAATCAGTGGTGGAGCTAGAAGCATGAATGCGGGTTCGGTCGAACCCAATAACTTTTTGCTCAAACAATGTATTTGTGTTAAAAAATTCATTAAATATGTAGAAATAAATACATTTAAAACCCAGTGAGTAGCTCTTAAAATTGTTGTATTAAAATCCAGAACCCATAAAATTGAAATTCTGGTTCCACCTCTAATATCAATTTCATACAATGTCCAAAAAACTTGTCCACACAGTGTGCTGTTGGAGGGCACAGTCGAAGGTATCAACAAGAGAGGGATAGCCTAATGGGAAGTGCCTTCTGCATCCAATCATAGTTTGGGGGTTTGAGCCAGAACAAAGTGGGAAAAGTCACTGTTTGGCTCCTGGATTGGGGAGTGGGGTTTACCATTTCGAGAGAGGAAAGAAGGGGCAGAGTGGAAATTCAAGTGATCCTTGCTATATGTTGGAGGTTTTAGATGATAAGATTCCATGTCTGAAGGTTTTACTTTTTAATATTCCTATTTTTTAACTTCTTTCTTTTTTTAAGAAATAAATTTTGATTGCATTCCTTAGTTGTATTATTGATATGTCTAGATTGCTTAATATCATGATTTTCAGGTTCAACAACGATTTGAATCGCTCAAAAAGCGGAAAGATACGGGGAGCTTCACTGTTCAAGGTAAAGAGTTTTAAATAATCAGTCCCCCAGAATATTGATTGGTTATGCATTTGCTAAGACGAATGGATAATAATAGCAAAGCTCATTGGCTGTTGCTTCTTTGTTAGTAGCACAGCGTGTACTTGCTTTGAATTATGTTATTCTCTCTATTAACTATGTTGTAAGCTTTCCGGTTTTCGTTTCTTTATGACAGCTCTATTTTAGCTTACTAGACGCAAAGATGGGACTGCTATTTACCATCTTTTGTTTCTTTCTAGATTTTGATGAGCGGCTGCTGAAACAACAGCAGGAAGAGGAAGAACGGAAAAGACAACGTCGAGAAAAGAAGAAAGAGAAAAAGGTATGTAGCTCCGTGAAAGCTTGTTTTGAACGATAAGCTTCTCTCTCTCTCTCATAGAACTTTGTTTGATGGATAATTTGTTGATTTGTATTTCTACCCAGAAAGAGAAGGCTGCAGAGGATGAACCCGAAATAGACCCTGATGTTGCAGCTATGATGGGATTTGGGGGTTTCGGGTCTTCGAAAAAATGATCCGTTTAGTCATCTATCTCATGCTAGAGCATAACTCGATCTGCCTACTCTGCTGAGGCCAGTAATTGTTTTTGAAATCGTTCAAAGTGTAACAGATGGAGNCCAACCCCTACCCTGGTCCCCTCCCCCCTTACACATTTCGTCTTCCATACTATTTACCTAAATTATATTTGTCAAAATAAATATTTTCTCCACACTATCCAAATACTAAAAAATATTATACGGAAAAAGTTTTTCGGTCGCCAACCAAAACATAAGAAAATAAGTGATAAAATCACTCATTTTTCAGAAAAATATTTTCCAAGTAAAACAATTTCCTTCGTACCAAAATGCACCTTAAGTGAATGTCGTTTTTAACTTAGGGTGTGTTTGGTACACAATACTGTTTGCATCTTTTGGTGTGGGTTATTGCCACATACCAAACATCTTCGCCACAAAAGTAACAATGAATAGCGCATATGACAACTGCCTGTTGGGAGCAATTTGATCCAGAGTGACAAGAGCGAGGTTGAAAAGTATCTCGTTTGATGCATAGAACAAACTCAATACTGGTCACAAGCACAACTAAGATGGGGTGGTTTTATTGTAAGATTTGTCATATTTTTACGTTGTTAAAAGGTTGGGACTTCAAAAAAAACCCTTCAAGATATAATCTTTTAACTCGGAGAGAGAGAGAGTCTACAAACAAGTAATGAACAACCTGTTAGAAGCAGATGAAAAATTGCAAGCTTGAAAAACTTGGATAATCAATACAAAGATAAGAGGTGAAGCCTAAACAGGTTCATTCAAATGGCAAGCATCACTATCCTTCTACACGTGAGAGATTCAAAAATCCCTCTACCTCTAACCTGTCCATCGAGCTGTGACAAATCTGTAGAAGAAGAAAAAGAAAAAAGCTTCACTAACGATGCCTTCTCATGAGTTTGGAACCTATTTGTGGTCGTTTTGGACTCAAAAAACAGAAATAAGTGGAAAAAAAACTTAGTGACCAAACTATATAAAATGCGGTTTTAAAGTGCGCTTTACTTTAACATCCGTTTGGGACGTTAAGGTAAAGCGCATTTTAAAACCACGTTTTCAAAATATGATTTACCTATTTTGTGGGCCCACCAATAACTCTTCTGCACTTAACTGACATAACAATAATTCAAATGGGTAAAACGCGTTTTACTTCAAAAAATCGACCCCCCCCCCCCCCCGGGATTGGGCATTGCCTTATTTAAAGGAGTTAAGGGTTTTGCAAAAATCCATTCAGAAATATTCTCAACTCCTGATAAATTTTTCTTGTTAAATTCTCAAGCATTTTTTCATAATGTCTGAAGAGCGAAAAGTAAGGGTTTCATTATATTGGGGGAGGGGGGGATGGTTGAGGTTGTGGTGGCGAATAACTCAGTGAGGTATAGTTTATCTCCACAGAGTCATGTTAAGTTGCCACTTACAATGGAGTATGATAGACTGATATCGTTGTTATGTAATAAAATGAGTGTAAGCAAATGTTCGGTGAATCTTAAAATAATCGGAAGATATCCGTATTCTGTTACTCCGCAAGGGGTTGCTTGTTACACTGAGTTTAATATCGAGGATGATGAAACTCTGAGAAATTTTTTTCCGGGACTCCGGATGAATACCGTGAATTTATTTGATAACCATGTTGGAAATTTACGTGAAGGTTGAAGAAGTTTGCAATAATGAGGTTGCGCAAAGCAGTGATAACCTTCAATCATCAGGTGGTTATTTTGGAGCAATTTTAGCCGAACATGTCTCGGCTGAAAGAGTGTGGCCGGATCTAAACTTATCTCCACGGGCAAATGAGGAGCGAGAAAATAATTTCTCTCCTACTTTACATAATCCACAAGACGACTGGTAAACTTCAATTTTCCTTTGTGTTACGATATTTATTTTTGTTGTATTGAATTTGTATTAACACTTATATTCTCCACAGGGGGTACCGTCCAGATATGAATTTTACAAGTTATGAACCCACGCCCAGTTGGAATATGCGTAGTTTTGGTGAGTTGGATCATGGTGGTCCATCCGGGAGTCATCACCAACAGGATAATGTCCATAATGGAATGTCAACACATTACGACTTGTAAGTGAAGTGATATAGCTATATGTAAAGTATTTATCAATTTGAATAGCTTATTATTTTGTTGTTTGTGCAGTGAAAACGAGCAACTTGATGGTCTTGTCCTCACTCAGTTGCCGTAGACGACGTATTTACTCGGGATTTGGCAGGTGCGCAGAGTCAGGAAGATAATACTCCCTCCGTTCCAATTTATGTGAACCTATTTGACTAGACATGAAGTTTAAGAAAAAATGAAAACTTTTGGAATTTGTGGTCCTAAACAAGTCAAAAAGGGGTTCAGAGTATTTGTGTAATTATAAAAGCTTCTCATTAAAGATAGAATTGTAAGTTTAAACTAAATTATTTCCAAATTTAGAAAGGGGTCATTCTTTTTAGAACAGACCAAAAAAGAAATAGGTTCACATAAACTGGAACAGAGGGAGTAGTGATTATGACAACAATGCCGATGAGTTTGGAGATGACACACCCTTCCCTGACGAGGGTGATGATGATGAGGAAGAGAATGCCGAACCTGATTTGACAAGGGAGCATGCTCCACTTCCCGTTAGACCAAGAGTGTACGAGTCCCACGTGTCGTTTCATTCAAAGCATATTCCCTACCTTGATCATTTGCCAAGTATGCCAGATGTGGATGGCCACACAAAGGATTTTGATGAAATTCGGACAACAATGTGAGATGAGTCTAGACCAACGATATTGGCAAATGGCATGCTTTTTCCTGATAAAGCGCGCCTAAGCAGGGCGGCAAAAATATACAGCGTAAAAGAGTATCGTGAGATGACGGTATAGGAGACAAGTCTAGATGTATACAAGGTTGTTTGCCGTAGATGGTTACGGTTGTCATTGGATGTTGCATGCGGGCAAGAAGAAAACAGGTATCTGGAAAGTGGGTAAATATATTGGCACCCACATTTGTGAAATGGACACATTCAATGGGAATCATTTCAACTTGGATGTTAACTTGATTTCTCTTGTCCTGATTCCACACATTGAAGCGTCCATAAGGTACAAGATCATAGAGTGTATTACATCTGTCCACCAGGAATATGGGTGTACTATTACCAAAAGAAAGACATATCTCGGGCGCAAACGTGTATTTGAAATTGTTTATGGTGACCAGGATAAGTCATTTGCATATCTACCCAGGTACATGGCAGCATTGCAACACCTTAACCCCGGGACTATTGTTGAATGGAAGCTTGAGCGGAGTGCAGGAATACCAGAATATATATTCAGATACGTGTTTTGGGCATTTAAACCAGCAATTGATGGTTTTGTGCATTGCCGTCCGGTAATATCCATAGACGGTACTCATGTCTATGGAAAGTATAATATTAAGCTATTGATCGCTGTTGCAGAAGATTCCAACGGACAAATATTTTCCCTAGCTTTTGCCATCTGTGCCAATGAAAGCCAAGAGACGTGGATGCTATTTTTGAACCACTTGAAGGAGCACGCTGTCAAACAACGTTAAGGTATTTATCTAATATCTTATCGGCATAAGGGTATATTAAGTTCTATAGAGCATTTGCCTGAATAATAGGAACCGTATGCATACCACCGTTACTGTGTGAGGCATCTGAAGGCCAATTTCCAGAAGAAATATCCCAATAAGGACTTGCATGATTTAGTGTGGATGGCTGCAACTGATCACCAAGAGTGCAAATTCAGGAGACGCATGGAATCGATCCGGCAGGAAGACAAAATAGCCTATCATTGGTTGATGCGACATGAGCTTCACAAGTGGACATTACATGCGGATGGTGGCAGACGATGGGGAACCCTGATTACAAATGTGTCGGAGTCTTTCAACGGGTTACTGAAGTCTGTATGTGGATTGCCTGTCACTGCCATGGTGCGGATGTCATTCAAACAGTGATGGAGAGGTTTGTTGAAAGGCATAGATGTGCATCAGAATTGATGGAGAGGGGTGTTGAATTTATGCCAATACCAATAAAAAGATTTGAGAAATACAGGAGGCGAGCACATTGACATTCATTTTTACAGTATTGCAACGAGCGAAATATTTTTGAAGTTCGCACCGCTATCTATCAAAATCTAGGGAATAATATACACACCGTAAATGAAGCCAACAGGTTGTGTTCTTGTGGGAAATGGTCCATCTACCACATGTCATGCTCACATGCCATCAAGTGCTTTCAACATACATGTTTAGGGCCAACCAACTATGTTGATAAGCAATACAATGTTGCTGCATACTTAACACATATAGTGGGCAGTTGCAACCAGTGAGTGTTGAGCATTATTGGCTGCCGGAACCATTTAAAATGGTGTGTAACAAGGACTATTTGCGTAAGCTACAAGTGCAAAAATAGCGTGTATACAGAACCAAATGGATGTTGGTGATACCGTTTATGCGCGTAAATGTGGCATATGCCCGCAAACAGGACACGACCGTCGTAAATGTCCTTCAGCAGGTTTGGGTGGCGGTGGTAATCCAGCTCCTGGTGGAAGTTCATCTAATGTGCCCAACTATCAAGAATACACGTAGTGTTTTGTTTTCGTAATGTGTTTGTAATAAGTGTATGTACTTGTTTATCTTGCAGAATGTATGAAAGAAAATTATGTTTCCATTGCTGTTATATCTTTTTGATATTTAACATTAATACTTCAGTACAACAATCTAACATAAACCTATTTAAAATACCAAAAATGGCCATTCGCCATTATCGTCGCTGTCTGACACTATTTCATGTCGTCGTCAACATCATGTATGTACCCTTCGGGACCGAGGGCATCGTAATCTAGGCCCTAGTTGACACACATTTCTCCCATTTCATCGCTATCATCAAGAAGACCACTTGCCTGATTTCTACAACAGTATGGGACACCCACGTCCAACGTCTGTGGTAGAAACTTAGGTAGTCCCTCCTACTCGACAACCGTTGGGAAAACAGGATAATCATTGTCTTTATGCAATTTATCATTTTCTAATAAATCCAGTACTGATCCTCCATTCCTCTCAAGAAGTTAAGATCATCCATT